AGTCCTTAAATCCTTAGTCGATTTGTGTTTACTTTTATTCCATGTAAAATAATGCCTTCTAAATACTATTATAGTCAGTACTTCTTAATCTTTAACGTAAACTGAGTCAGCTGGGATCCTGTTAACTGCAGGTTCCGATTCAGGAGCCTGGGAGAGGCCTAGGTGTCTGCATTTCTGTAATGCACTGCAGCAGGGCCAGTTGGCCTGCGGGTGGTTAGACCCATGCTAGTCTCTGTCCTCTGAGTTTGCCTGTCCTTGAGCTTGAAAAGCCCAAACCAGCATTTACCACTCCTCCCTGACCTCATCCCCTGAAAATACGTAAGATAATAATACTAATTCACTCCTGCCTAAAAACCTGGCTTTATTTTGTCTCTGTGTAAACAGAGCACACGATATAGGCTAACTTGGGTTTTGAAAAAAGTCAGACATGGTGGCTGTTACACGCATTCCCTTTCATGGGAGTGTTCATATTCATATGGGAGAAGCAGAAAAATCATTTGCTTTGGGGAAAAAAGTCCAGCCAATGATTAGGTTGCATCTAAATCCCTGAAGAGTCAGCCCTGAAAATGGCTAAGATCAGAAAATAGAAGAGGGTCCCCTGTGCTCTCTGGATTTAGCCCACACATCAAACTTGATCCCTTCCCTTCTCCCTTCACTCCCAGCTTCCTCTGCTTGCTGAGTGCAATGGCAGCAGACCCAAATCAACAATTAAATCCCCCCTTTGTTTGTGTGGCAGATGACAAATGCATGGAGGACATCTTGTGTTTCCTAGGCAGGCAGGGCACTTACTTTGATTGATGCTGCGTTGTGGAAAAAAATGAGCTGGGAAGGAATTACAATGGAGGGCCTGCAGACTGGAAGGGGATATACTAATTAGTCCTGCATTAAGCAGTCGGCTTGCATTGGTGATGAGCCGCCTTCAGGAGGAAAGTGTAGGGGTTATTGATGCAAAACAGTATGGAAAGCATTATGCCAGGTAGCTGTGCATTAGTTTTGTTAGGAAGTATAGAATTTAGTAATTAAGAGAGAAATACTTAGGCTACTGTATTTTTTTTTTTTAACACCGCCAAATATATTGGGCAGACCATGCTTTTTAACTCTACACAGTCACATAGACAAGCTGGAAGTCCTTATCCCATTCGGAAATAACCCTTCCAGTTTCCTCATCCCTCAGAGCCCCACGGAGGGAGAGCTGCCTCTGCCCCATACTCTCTGGCTTCTTTTTCTCAAGTCCCACAGCTCCAGAGCCCTGGGACATGGAGGAAGTTTTCCTTCAGGCCGCTCTTCCCAGCTTTTAGAGAGTTGTTGTTGGTTTGACCAGGGAAGAACCCTAGGGCTATGGCAAGACAAATTCAACATCTTCTGTGGACAAAAGGCTGGATGAAAAGGTACATGGAGAGTTTCTTGTCTGGTTTAGCATTCGGGATTTGCTTTTCTATTTCCCAGGCAACTGGTAGAGGTGGAGTAGTAGACGGCTGTGCTGTTCCGTTCACATCGAAGAGTGACATTGATGCTCTGGGTAACTGGAATGTGCGACTCCAGGTGACAAGACTAGACAGGACTAATCATCTCGCGGTCGATACCTCCTGAGCAATGGAGAACTGGAGGGTGATAGGCAAAGATGCTCAAATAATTGCTGATATGAATGGTTTAATATTCAAACCTTGGCATGTTGATTTGGTCAGTTTGGCCTAAAGAATCGATAAGATGGGTTCAATGACTTCCGTGAAGTGAAAAAAGGAAAAAAAATCATAAGAGGATTTTGCTCACAGTGTGAAAATAGAGGACCTAAAACTCCTTTGGTTTTAGAATACCAGGATAATTTCACTAACTCACCGTGTTGTTATAGATAATGTGATTTTTAGTGATTCTTTATGTTGAAACGCAGTGAACTATCAGGTGTCTCCTGCTAACCTAATGGGAGAGTCCATGGTCCAAAGTTCTTGGTTCAATTTATCAAAGTTGTCAAATGCTGGTGCAGCTGAGATTTCCTTTTACTTTTCTCATTCTAGAGACAAGTTCACCTAAGGATTTGGAGATGCCTATGCTAGGAAAAAAGATATATGTGATAAAGATAGCATTTTGAGTTACCAAAGTCTACAGAGTCTTTTTCCAAACTTTTATCCATAAACTGGAGCACAAGGCAGATATCAAAGTATCAGAAATATCATCAGACAGCTAAAAACTGTCTTTCATGGACAGCACCAGGAATTGTGCCAATAGCTCTAGGAAGAAAAGCTAAATAGTTAATGTGGTTTATTTTTTAAGCATGCCTTTGTTTTAGAATTCTATCTTATTCTTGAACTGATTTGATGTCACCATGACCTTCACCCGCCAAGAAGGCACAGTTGAGGCATCTTCGGTAACAGCCTGGGGCTGTGGACAAGGAAGACGCTGTGCTGGCTCTTTGCCTTTTTTCCACAATGTTTACACGACCAAGACTTATTACATGCCCTGTCATTTTGTTACTGGGCTGGCTTTAGTTAGAGAATTAGGTAAACATGGGACATTCCATCACACAATTTTAGACTCAATCTTACTTTATAATGATGCTAATGTTTATTGTACAGAGCGAGATGCATTTGTATACTTTAGCATTTTTTTTTTCGGTCACAGAATGCAAAACCTGACATTGGCATCGGTTTGGTGTGTGTGTGTGTGTGTGTGTGTGTGTGTGTGTGTGTGTGTGATTGAAGATATTAAGCACTATAAGAACGATGAAATTTCAATCTGATTAGGATCAAAATTCTTCAGGATCAAAACACTCCTTTTTCTCCCCCTACAGTTTTACTAATTGTGTGCTACTTGACATTGTGGAGTTATTCCACAGCATGATAGCTAAATATGTGCAGTGCATTTTACTGTGCAGAATTATCAGCTCATTCTATTTGTTTTTCATGTGTTTAAGGTTATTAAAAGAATTTTAAATTAGAAGTCATGTGTATGAGTTGAAAGAGTGAACTCAATCATTGTTAGTAGGCTAAATCATAAAGCAATAGCCAGTATGTCAATATCAAGTAATGAAGAAAAAAAAATCACAGAATTTGAAAGCATACCTTCTCTGTTTATTAGCTGGCAAGATACCAGAAAAATTAGGAGACTACCACAATAGTGAGTGGCAGAGTTGTTTATTTTCAGCATTCTCAAATTATTCCGGTTACTGGAAATGAGATAAAAGTAGATCGGAAAGAATGGCATCAAACATATTTTGTCGGAGACCTCTGCTTTATGGGAAGGAATGAACTGCCCCAGCCCACTGTACTCGAGGAATTGTGTTCCTTCCAGCTGTAAATCAAATCCCAGAGAGCAAGCATGCTGTTTTCCAAATAATAACTGAGGATGACAAAGTTCTTTTTTTGTCCGCGTCAGGTTTCTGAATTTAGACCTCAATTAAGATTCCCAAATGAAAAAGCACCACTCTCCCCCAGGACAGTCCTACAAACAATACTCATTTTTAAAGTCTGGCTCTCTGGCATATATTGGTCCAAAAATATATCTTCAGCTTCCTCTAAAGATTCTGATTTTTTCTCCATTTTCTCTAAATTCCCAGCTACAAAAGAACCTGGATGTTTCCTAAAAGGAAACAGCATCATTCCTGCCCCCGCCCTCCAATGAACCGAAAAGCCTCTGCTTCTGCAATACACACGCCTGTTCATCCACAGCAGCAGTGTGTCTCCTAAGTCCCTGGTGTGCGGGCCTGGGCGCGCACTCCGTGCTGGGAGCAGACTCTGCTGGAGAGCAGCCTGGCTGGCAGGCTTTTCCCAGAGACATGCTACCGACAAAACCTGACACTGAACTTGGTCCCGGGTCTTTGTTGTGAATTCAGGGCTAAAACCACAGAACAAGATGCTCCCACTCTGAGACTTTGGCTAGCTTACTGTCTCTCCATCATCCTTTTGAAGGTCTGAGTTTGAAAGGAGCGAATAACTGCTGTCCTCACCATGGCAAGAAAGGGGGGAGGAAGAAAGTGCGAAGGCCACCTGGCTGCTTTTACTACAAAAGAAGCTTCCGTTTCAAGCTCATCTGTGGTACCTTGCAGGTGTTTAAAACCAGCGTTCCGGACTGGGTGCAGAAGCTTCTAGGAAGAAAGCTGGCAGGCCCTCCTCTTCTAGGAAGAGTCCACGGAATGGCCATTAAAGGGGCCTCTGGTTGGAAGGAGACAGTCCCTTCCTAAGAGGTCTCCCAGGTCAGTGCTCTCGCCGGTGGGACTGGCGGACCCCACCCACGCACAGTAGACAGCCCCGCTGAGTCTGAGGAGGGAAAACTTCAGGAGGACGCTGGCTGCAGGTTACTACGTGGACTCAGCCAGGAAACTGCTGGTGCTGCTTTGCTTAAATGCCACAAAGGGTGCCTTGGACGTCAGCCTGCAGGTCAGGAGCTGGGAACTGGACTCAAAGAGCTGAAATTAGTTTTTTGTTTTGTTTTTTCCCCCAGGAGTCTGGAGATGGAGACTCCTGCTCCTCTGAATAACCCTCTTTCCAGAAACACACCAAGAAGACACTGCCTTTGAGCGCTGCCCTGTCCACGCCGTGTGCTCCGCCCCTGCTCCCTGGGCTTCCCTCACCCTGGCTTTGTGGCTAGCCCAGTAGGCATGTTATAGGCTCTGGCCTGTTTGACCTTGTCTTCTCCCTTGTATAGTATTTTGAAACTGGGGCCACACATTTCAGAGTGGAAGTTGCTCCCTAGAAAATGAAAGGGTCAAGAAAGCACTTAAGACAAAGGTTCTGTCACCGAGTCATGGGGGAGAAAGCACAAGAGACCATGAAATCCCAGGTGAGTGCCTAAAGACCCGGCAATTTCTCTGGGCCCGAGGTCCGACTTTCAATCTAATTCCAACACAAGTTGAAGTGATTTATGTCTCACTTTTTCTCACCGCATGTTGACAGTCCTCTCAGAAGTGCACAGGCGACATGAAGGAAGAAATCGGCACTGAAACCAAACAGGCATCGGAGAGGCAAAACCCGCCAGCGTGTGCCCACACACGCATGAGAGGTACTTACAGTCCAAGTGACTGTGCCGGATGCCCTCCACGTCTTCTGCGTGGATGAAGTGGTAGCATCTCTTCCCCACAATATCTACAGGGGTCAGATCCATGTAATCACTGATCCTACAAGAACAACAACAGACTGGAATTCAGAAGGGGAGAAAATACAGAAACTGTGAGATGTCTTAGAGACAAACCTACTGGCGATTTTCATTATCCCAGGGTACCTGAGAGGATTTGCCACTTTGAGGGAAAACTCTTTATACATAAAGTTATTTCTTTGATGAATAACATTTTCTAAACTAGAAAATGCGCTAGATCAAGCAATTGTGTTTAAATAATTAGGAAGGTTCTTTCTTTCTTTCTTTCTTTCTTTCTTTCTTTCTTTCATCAGAATGCACATTTAGACAACATAATTCCATGAAATTATTGAGAATCAGGAACAATGAAAGATTCTCATTAGAAGCCAAGATAATTCAAGGTTACATAATAAAATAAAAACATGTTATGTTTATACCAAATGATTAGAGACCCCTTTCATTTAAACAGATTGGTCTTCTATTGGGTATTTCCATGCAAAAGGGCTTCAACTGCTTCTTGGCACAAAGTGCAAATTGGCATTTCAAGGGCTAGAATTTAAATGCCGAGACATACAGATGCCTGGGGGTATTATCTTTTTTAGTCTTAGTCATCTGGGAACTCGGCTTTCGCTCCTGGCCCTTTTAACTGGTACTTTGTGGTGGAGTCCACACAGAACTTTAAACCATTTCAGCGGCTCTGCCAGCCTTGTGCTCCGCATTACATGCGTGTAAGCCCATGCCACTGATTGCCCAGACGTCAGTGTCCTCGGGCAGGAGCGCAGGAAAAGAGCACCGAATTGGAAAACATGTTGGGAGAATCTGCCTGGTTTACACAAACACGTCAAAATGCTTATTATCCTCCTCCCTTCCCAAGCGCAGACTCATTCTGGTCAGTCCAAAATAAAATACGTCTTTTGTTTAATGTATTCTCTTCAATGTCCCTGCGTGTTTTGTGGTCTGTGACTTATAATGTATTCAAATACGAAGTGAGTCTTTAGAAATGACATGTTTAAGAAACTCATGAGATCACTGCTGGGGAGTTGACTCTGACTCCCAAAGCAGGGAAATAAGAAATAAAACAAAAACAGGATAATATGGAGTATAATTAGAACATACTACACAGTGAGTGAATGTCTCAGTGTCGAGCAATATAAATCATATTTGGCAAACCTAGAATTCTTGGCAAGATAAGACTAAATGGGGTGATAAAAAGGAGTATTTCCTCAGGATTCCTCTGTTTTCTGGTACAAAACAGATTAGTCGGTGTTTTCCTGAAACCATTAGCTGCTTCCCCGCACTCTTTACACCCCCTTTCTGCAAATGAGGGAACAAGGATGTCATTAAAAGGCCCTCATTGGTGTTTCTGAAGTTTGCCAGCTCCTCTGAAAGCATTAGATGTCAGCTTTGCCGGAGGCTGTCCCGGGGAACCCTGGGGAACGGGGGCTGGGGGGCGGGGGGAATGGTCTGTAGAGTCAGGGATTGGCTTTAGTTTCTAGTTAGCAATTCCCTAATTAAACAACAAACCCAGGAAAAAATCCACTTCATTCTTTAGGGAAGACATTTCTTTAGTTTATTTTTTATTTGAATGAAATCCTTCCAAACAATGGAACCACTTCTTGGTACCAGAGCCTGCTACTGAGGTGAATGTGACCAGCTCAGTGTTCAGCGACCTATATGTAGTGGAAGCCCCAGGACAGTCTGATGACCTCTGTGAGAACCAGGTCCCCTGGCAGCTTGTATCTGAGCCTCCGTTCCCTCATCTGTAAAATAGCCAAGAGGCTGGTGAGGGGTTGAATGAATGAAATGAACATAGCATTGCACCGGACACACATTTGCATCAGAATACAAGATGCAATAGCAGAAGGCAGCTGTCTGTGTGCTTCTCCCGTAGGTCAAATATACAATTACCTCCACATAGGTCTTTTTAATAATTACTATCATCTTCAGTTAGGAAATAATGCTGTATTGTATTGGCTAATAAGGGGTTGTAGAAAACTTTATTTAAATGGGAAGAAAAAAATAGCTTAAAGTGGTTACAGAATGTAATCTCAATTACTAGAGTGGCACCATAAGGCACTTGGTTCTGTGGAGCATGTCAAAAGAATTAGTCTGTGATCTCATGAAAATTAAGTGCTAGTTTTGGGATAGGACAGTCACTGGGTAAATGTTAGGGAAATAAGACAAGACTCCCCACCCCCCCACCCCCCCCTTTTTTAGGAATTGCTGTTGGTAACCTAAATCAAGGGAGTTGACCTATGTTTTCAAAGAAGCAATACCATAGCTCATCCTTTGACTTTCTGCCTCCTGGGTCTCCAGCATTCTACATTTTAAACCAGCATAAATAGCTCTATGGGCTGTGGCTGTTTTTCGTGGGTGCACATGTGTGAAAGGTCCACCTAGGCAGTTATTATGACCAGTTCCTTACCATCTGGCCTGACTTCCGAGGAAAAATAAGAGACAGGGAATGCAGGGAGGCCCCACAGGATGTTGCTAAGTGAGAGGTTTCTGAGTCCGTCAGATTTGGGTTTAACTCTTGGCCTCAGGTAAGTCACTTAACCTTTCTCTTTCACCTGAAATCACCTGGGGGATTGAGACAATGGCAAGACCTGCCTCACAGAACAGTCTAGAAACTTGACTTAGATGGTGCATACAGGGTGGGGCAAAAGTAGGCTTACAGTTGTTCAGATGGAAAATAATACAGTAATTATTAAAGAATAATACAAGAATAAACTGTGTTTCATGTACTCACAACTATAAACCTACTTTTGCCCAACCCTTATAATGTGTGCTGCACATTGCCAAGTGTGTAGTAAGTGTTCAATCAATGCTAGTCATCTTTATTATTACTTGCCAACTCTAGGCAATCATTTGGCTAAATGTCCTTCCCGATTTCCTGTGGCCATTCCAGAATACCTTAGATAGAGCCACCTATACAGTCATGATGATACAATTTTTACTAAATGCCACCAAAAGCTTAAAACATAGATTTAGTTACTTATTAAATAATAGCGCCAGTTTCGTGATATCTTCTACCCCACCGAACATTAAGAGGCAGGCGGGTATGTCTCCCATTGGTGAATTCTTTTCTCTGAATCAAATCCTGACTGAAAATGGTAGGCGTTTCTAACTCAGCTATAACACCTTTCACTTCCCAACAGACTGAACGCATCTGTCTGCCTGCCTCTTGGCTCGGCCATGAGGAGGTCAATTACCAAGCCACTTGGCCGTTCTGCTTTTTCATTTTTCCTCCATAGGCACTCACAGGGCTCAGTGAGCATATACTGTATCCATGGCCGACAACACTGAGCCACAAAAGCATCTTCTCAAAACTGACTGTAATTCTTCCCATAGCACGGGGGAGGGACAGCATCACCACAGCTCCCTTAGCAGCCCCTGCACTGCTCCATTCCCTGCTCCCCACATCCCATCAACCTCTCCTCTTTACATTAGTCTGAGGGCTGGTGACTTCTAGGTGAAAGGTCTGAAGGGGCATTGTCCCATTTCCTTGTCCCTCGCTTTGTGCTTAATGGAAAAAGTGAACTTTTAACCAAAGGCCAAGAAATCCTTTTATAAAAGCTCAATCCTGAGGAAGGACTGGCAAGTTATTCACACAATGAGTCATCTTATTTTTTAATTTATGAAAGTGAGAATTACAAATTTTATTTAATACATGTGTAGAAAGCCTAGACCAGTCTGATGACCTATATCAGGTTCAATATCTTGGTCCTTTTTTCCTCTAGGGGGCTCTGATTGTCATTGGTTCTGTATATGTGTTGTGTGGACTAAATGTTTGTGTCTCCCCCCCCAAATTCATATATTACAGCCCTTCCCCTCAATGTGATGGTAGTAGGAGGTAGGACCTTTGATTTAGATGAGGGTTAGATGAGTTCATGAGGATAGAGCCCCTGTGATGGAATTTGAGTCCTTATACAGAGAAGAGCCCACAGCTCTGTCTCCCTGCATGAGGACAGCAGAAGACAGCTGTCTATAAGCCAGGAAGAGGGCTCTCACCAGGAATCTAAGCAGCCTGCACCTGGACCTTGGACTTCCCAACCTCCAGATCTGTGAGAAATACCTGTCTGTTGTTTAGGCCGCTGGGCTATGGTGATTTGTTATAGCAGCCTGAGCTGATTAAGGCAATGCGCTTAATGCCTGCCTGCGTGAACATGGACCATCATGAGGCTGGGCCCTGCAGGAGTCAGGAGCAGGGTCTGGCTGAGGCATCACTCCTGAGCACCCATTTACTGCATCATTTCCCCAATAATGTCTCAGTCTTGCTCTCTCCTTGGATTTTTTGGGCAAAATGGGCCTTACTTATAGCACATGGATGTCTGGGTATCCCAATTCATTCCATTGTTATCCCTAATGCAAATCAGGGCAGCAATGGAAATTTAAAATAAAAATCATGTTTGGTGCCAGTCCAAGCATCCATTAGAAATAAGATCAGGATTTATAATGAGCCTCATTGGGAGAGTAAAATCCTGAAGCCTTCTGAAAACACCAACCCTCACCCATGTGCAACACACAGCAGGGCAAACAGAAACAAAAACCAAGTACCTATTTTCACAGTAAATGATATTGAGGTCCATATTTACTCGAGTGACGAACATATGGCAGTCGATTCTGACTTCATTGATTGTAGGGGGAGGCAAGGCATGCGCCACGACCACAAGACCCATGATCTGGCTGGGGATGGTCCTCCCGTGGGACAGCGACACCCGAAGTCGTAGCCGACCTGTTATGTGGATCACCTGTAACGGAACAGCGAGTACAGGACACAGTCATGTTTACAGCTGGGACGTAACAGTGTTTCTTTTGAGAGAAATGCAAAATTACATCTGGCACAGCCAATATTAGCTTGTACCTTTTGTAATCATAATGGCTCTCGAAGTGCCTTCCGTGTCCTCAAGGCAGGCGATAATAGAGAAATATTATACTCTGAGCATGTTCCAATGCAGCATTATTATTATTATGCTATGCTGTTGATATTTTTCAGGCACTTTTTTTTTTTTACATTTAGAGGAAGTTCGTAAACCAGCTAAAATGACCAGAAAGTTGAGCACTGAGCTGTGAAGGAGACATTTGCATGACCAGCCCTTGTTAATGGGTGATGTCTGTTTCTCTCCAAATCCACACCGAGTGGGATTACGTGGCCAACTCCTTTCAGAAGTGTGGCTCAGCTTTCCTTCATTTGGGGTTGATATCGCAAAAGGCCAAAGACTCCATGAATGAAAGACTCAGTGGGAATGACATGAATGCACCCCTTTGTGCACAGATATTCATAGGCAACATTGAATAACCAGTAACACTGCGATTTGCTGCCGTGCCCATACTCCTGACGAAGGGTTGGGAAGACTCCCACCAATTAGGAGGCTCCTTTTGGTCACTGATGCAGAAACAGGAAGGAGAATGTTGGGCTATGATTTGCAGTTTATTAGCCCAAATACACACCAGGTAGCCCAGGCTGCTAGAACCAAACAGAAGGCATCTCTTGAAAAAGTTCCTTTGCTTATAAACTGTATGTAGGAGAGCCACGATGTTAACTTCATTAAATAATGTTTTGGGGAAACAAAATCATGAAAGGATGGAAAGTGGGAAGGATTTATGTGGCTGTGCTTTGGAATGATGGAAGTTGGGTGTGTGTGTGGAGAGGGTGAATGCTGTGTGTGTGTGTGTGTGTGTGTGTGTGCGCGCGCTCGCTGTGCCCCTAGGACTCTGCCGCAGTGTCAGTGTGCAGTGTGGCCTTCTAGAGCCTGGTGGTGGAGGTCATCGCTACGATGCACTGGACCCGGAGCTCAGGGTAGCAGCTAACCAAGCTTCACAGTTGGCTTGCCTTTCCAAGTGCATCCCTTTCGAGATTTTCCTTTTCCCTCTTGGCCATAAGGAACCGAGGTGGAAAGCGGTCTCTGGCCTCCCAGGAGCACTAAGATCTAGTGTCTGCTCTCCTTCCCAGGGGCTTGACTGGTAATTCCTTTCTCATTTTGTTTTTGTTTCCCTTAAGTTATTCAGTTTCCCAAAGTCAGCCACACAGCTGTCAGCCAGGGGCAGGATAAAAGCTTCCGGCTGCCCTGCGAGTCCTGGCTGTTCTGCGCCCTCCCTCTTCCCTGTCCCCCTTCACATTGCACCCAGAGCCGCCCATCTGGAAACACCAATGAGGAGGATTATTTAGGTTATTTCAGGAGCAGTTTTTTGACCACCCGCATTTGAAGTTAACTAAATTCATACTTAATGCACCTTTGCTTTAGGCTTTGGTCGGACGAGCTACTTTATGAATACTTGAAAATGTACCTAGAGGCAAGGATGCTAACACACCATCACAGACACATTTTTTTTTTTTTGCCAGACCTCATTAACTAATAAAGAAACAGCTAAAAGAAATGGGATTAACTTCACAGGAGGGGTGTCAACAGTTCCTGGTCCTCCTCCCAGCCAGGCTCACATAGATGCTCATTTATCATTATCTGTCTTGCACTATCAGGAACACTCAGCTTGGAAAAACACAGATCTATAAATGCGCAGGAAAACACACACCCAGAAATGATATGCTAAATAAATCCCTGCTTGGTATTCTATTTGAAAGTGATTTATAGGTGTCTGGGCTAGAAAACATTTTGGGAGACAGACAGGCTACTGGGCTGAGCTGTCTGCATGTCAGATCTCCCGGGCCTCCATCTCCAGCTTTGCCGGTGGCCATCCAGGTGTCGCTGGGGATCACAGTTGGGTCCAGTCACATCTAGATTTGCCATTTTCTCATTTCATTACCCTGGGCGGGTCAATTCTCTGCATCTGAATTTCATTTTCTGTGAAATGGGCATAATTACTAGTCTGCAGTTATGTTACAAAAACCAAAGGAGATAATGGAGGGGAACACTCTCTAAATTGTAAAGAAGTCTGCAAATTTCACTATGATTCTATTCGCCTTTAAAAATATCAACTAGATAATAAGGATAAGAAGCAATTATTAATTTAATCTTGACCAAAAGCCTGGTAATGAATTATGAAAGTTTATGACCCTCTAAAATAATAATATCTGGAAGAAAATTTTGGAGGGTCTATTTTAGGTCCTTTTCCCTTCCATTTTTTTAGGTGAGGAAAGAGATTCTGGAAAGTTCATTCCCTGTGTAGAGTTACCTGACTTGGAAATGGCAAAAAAGAGCCTAAATCCGGTTTCTAGGTCTTGTGTGTCATTTCCCCTTTCTCCCCGTATACATTTGATGTGCATATTCATATTGAAGGGAACATGACAATTTACTGCCTTTGGTAATCTGTATATAAACCTTTAAATAGACTTCACTTATAACCAGAAGCTCAGGTTATTTGAAAAGTCTGAGAAATAGCACAAACTAAGGAGAAGAAAAAGAAAACTAAGAAACTTACTGATGTAGTAATTAAATAGTTGTCAAGAAATGTCAAAGAACAATGAGAGGGTGGGTTTGTTCATATGCGCACCTGGGGGTGAGGGAGGATGGGACTGAGTATGTTAGGTCACATAATTAGCTTTTTGGTCTTAAATTGATATGTTTTTCCAAATCTATTTCATGATGCCAACAGTTTCCCTCCTGCCCCATGTGACAGGTTATGTTCAAATTGTAGAAACATGTGTGACAGCATCTATCCAAACACGTAGACTGTTGTTTCACTTGGCAGTTGCATTTAAGGCAGGAGATGCAGAGGAAGGCATCTGGGTTCCAGCCCTGGCTCTGACACCACACAGCCACGCAGCTGCGATGCTCAGAGCACTGCAATGACTTGCTTCATTCCTAGGCTGGCATAGTAGAGATTAAAACCTAGTCCCATGAAGAGGATAAGTATTCCATAAAGGTGTTCATTGTTTTCATAATAAGATCAGCAAAGGGCATTTATTTTATTTTATTTTATTTTTAAGTTTCTGAAACATATTATGTACAAAGGATATTGCTATGTGCCAGGGAATAGACCAAGATGAATCAAATGTAAACCTTTCCTCAAAGAGTTTATGGACTACAAAGTGGAGTAGACATATGTAATCACCTGTAGTCTAGCCACATTGGGAGATGACACAGTGACTGAGCGAGAGAATAGTTCTCCATTTTGGTTATGTGGCAGAATCATCTGTGAAGCTTTGCTAACACGTGGATTCCCAGGCTCCCCCAGGGATTCAAGTTTGTTGGGACTGGGCTGGAGTCCAGCATTTGTTTTAAAGCTCCAAATGTGATACGTCCTACAGGAGAATAGGTGGCTAATGGGTTCGGAGTTACACCAGTGGTTCTCAATCTGTCACACAGTGGAATCACCAGGGAGTCTTAAAAGTCCCCATGTTCAACTGTACCCAAAGCCAATTAAACAGGGACCTCTGGGGTAGAGGCCCTTTAGGTCTTATAGGGCTGCTGAGAGGATTCAATGCAAATGTATATAAAGTTCTTATGTATATATATGGCTGATACACAATATATGCTCAACAAGTACTACTTTTATTAAGTAACAAGCAATGCTCCATAAGAAAGGTAAAGGATAAGGTCTTTGGCAATTCAGGGTAGCCAGTAATACTTTTGCGTGAATGGATCAGGAAGGATATGTGAAACTGGCATTTGAGTACATTGTTGACATAAGATATGGTCATAGAATGGTGAAAGGGCTTTTCAGATTGAGAGAAGAGCTAGAGAAAAAGAATATAAAAGGGAACCTATTGGCACAGGAGCAGTGGGTGTCAACAGGTAACGAGGCAGGGCTGGGCCCAAATGGCAGGTACAGGTAAAGCAGTAGAGACTGGCCATGGGAGCTGGTGAGAAGAGCTGGCACCATGATGTTGAGCCTGTCTCCTAGGATAAGGATGATGATGATGATGATGATGATGACAGACAGAATGGTAATTGGTAATACAGGAACTACCAGTGTGTGGGTATGAGCAGTGTGGAGACAAAGATTTCCCTGTGGACCTTGTGTATTTGAGCCTGGAGTGCGTGGGTGGCGGGGGAGGGGGGTCCTAGACAACGTGTCCAGGGGATAGTTGGAAAAAGGAGCTGCATACTTAAGAAATGATAGTTGAAAGTACAATTTTGGATTCTTTTTTTTTCTGGAGGTGATAGTTAAAACCAGGGAATTCAGTGGAATTACTAATGAAGAAAACAGATGAGAGAATACTAAAGGCATTTCCCCTACTGTAAGTACCCGAAGCCCAAGGCAACTTATGTTTTACTCTAAGTTAAGGTTGTCTTGCTCTATAATTACTTTTGTAAGAAATATAAACATTTCTCAAAGCTCTAAAGTCCCCTTTTTCTCCACCCACAATTCCATTCTGATATAAATGCCAAGCTTGTTGCCCATCCCAGTGGCAACATCCCAAAGAATGGGATGGATTCCTTATCAAGTCCAGTGAATGAATGGAAAATGATTTTGAATGTAAATGTATAAGCCCAAATACACATATTATGTGAAGAGCCATTAAACCTATACAAATAACATAGCAGCTTTAAAATGAAAGGAGTATTGTGGAGTAGAAATAACACTGAATTGGGAAACATTTGCTTTCAGTCGTGGTTCCGGTAGCCTTGGCAAGGCCTTTGGCTGGGGCAGGGTTTCCTCAGATACAAAGTGCAGGCAAAGGAGCAGACAATCAGACCAAGGGTTTCAGTAAGTTCTAGAGAATCCTGTGACCGAATGCTCACTAGGATGGCCCTCACTCCATGGTGGGTTGGGAGTCTGAGTACAGCTGCAAATTAATAAATGCAAAGTACACTTTAAGAATTAAACAATGGGGTTTTTATGGGTCGTC